TAATATTATTTTGTAATATATACATCGTAATGTATTTCTAAAAATAATTTATATATAGACATATATAAATAATTTAACTTAATTTTATAAAATATTGTTTTAAAAAAAATTAATTCGTGCATCGCACAGGTGAACTACTAGTTGTTTAGATGATAATTTTCACATGATATAATAAATTTTGTATAAGAGGTGGATAGATATTTTCGTTATTATACTAACTAATTTTTTAAAATTATATCTTAGTCAAGCTATCTTTATTGACTAAATCTAATGTAGATACAAATTTTAAAATATAAATAATTTAATTTAATTTTATAACATATTGTTTAAAAAAAATTAATTCGTGCATCGCACAGGTGAACTGCTGGTTTAATTATAATAATGCAATTTTTTTTTTTTAATTGAAGATATCTTTGTGTTCAGATGATAATTTTCACATGACATAGTAAATTTTGTCTAAGACATGGATAGATATTTTCGGTATTATGCTAACTGATTTTTTAAAATTATGTCTTAATCAAGCTGTCTTTACTGACCAAATTTAATGTAGATACGAATTTTAAAATTAAAATTATTTTTTAAAAGATCATGAGTTAAGAAAATTGTAAAATATTATTATAATGATAAATGGCTCAATAATGATTTTTTTTTTTAAATTTGAAAAGTTAAAATATTTGGCTTAACTGCTATACATATATAAAATGTTTTAAAAGAGTCAAGATAAAATATCAATTATAATACTACTATATTGATCAAATTAACAATGTTTTAAATGAATAAATATTAAATGTCAAATATATTACCATATTGATTAAATTTTCAATAATTTCGTGACATGTATATTTTTGTGTTTTTAAAATTGATACAAAGATACAACATTTTTGCTTATGTAATAGTATAGGTTTTAGATAAATCAAGGAAAGTTTAGTCTAACATCTCTCCCAAACTTTTAGTAATGTGAGAGATCCACAATATTTATTTGAAAAAATATTGAGGGACCCCAATTACTATGAAAATATTGTATGTCCTTTATTTTATAAAATCTTAATAGCAGGGACTTTAAATTTTTTTTTCCATAAATCAATACTTAAAAATTTGTAATTAGTATTTTGGACATCTGTTAATTTTTCCTTTTTGAATTTTATGAGAGAGAATAGATTTGGATAAATTAGGAAGGAAATTATTTTATCTTTCCTTCTGAAAAATAGAAATTTGGAATCATTACTAGTTTTATAATTATTGGTTTAATGGGTTAATCAATAGTATTTTTAAATAAAAAATTCACAAATCTAATTAGAAGTGTTTTGGGAACTTTTTAAAAAGTCAGTTTTTTTGTTTCTTAGCTTTTTTATACAAAAAAGTCACAAAAAAGTCAACTTTTTTAACACAAAAAACCAAAAAGTCAATTTTTTTAACACAAAAAATTAAAAAATCAATTTTTTACCAACTTTCTAAAAGCCCACGTAGTACAAATATATAGATGGATAGATACATAAAGACATAGTTTTGGAAGAAAATTTTAAAAATTTACTATACTTGATAGATAAAGATTAATGTATGAAATATGGATTATTAATTTATTAATTTTGTAATAAATACATTTTATATTTGATGACAAATGTATAATTTAGAAATAAAAAAAAATTACTCTAATTGATGTGCAAAGATTAGTATTTTTTTTAATAATAAGATTAGTGTCTGATATATGAAATATTTATTAATTTTGTAATACATCAATTTTTTATTTTACAATGTAACCGTATTATCTATTTTTGAACCTAGATTGATCGAACAATAATAAGATTCAACACTTGAGTTAAATTTGTTTGGCCATTACTTAAAAAATTAATATTAGTAGATGTGCATACAAATAAACCAACCAGAGCATCTAGTTTTAAAAAAATAGATTTTATTAATATGTGTCTTTAGAACAAATGTTGAAATATTTTGTTTGGGGAAAATTAGTCTAGAGTCCCTCCCCCACTTTTCGTAATGGAAGAGATCTACAAAATTATTTTTTGATGTCTAAAGTCCCTAAACATATATCAGAGAAATTTGACTATCACCATCCCTAACGCTAGTAAACTACAGAAAACAAGACTTTGTGCTTGTTGTATGGGTTCTATCACCACTTCCCTAATATATATATATATGTCTATTACCTTAGGGTTTCAATCACAGATCTATTATCTTCCTCATTCTCTCTGGTCTTCAACTGCTCCGAATCATGTTGATGTTCTATAATACTGTTTCGATTCTTGAAGAACTCTTCCTGAGAAGCCCTGAGATTCTCATAAGCAACACATAGGCACTTGTGAGAAGCATAACCAGCCTTGACGTTTTTTTCTCCCAAGCTCTCTCCGCCATTTTCTGCTTCTCCGTCGTCTCCGGCAACATCTCTCTTCACTGCCTACCTGTCTCCTTCAACCAAGCCATTGGCTCCACCACTCCTTTCTTCACTGCCATCTTCGCTTTCCTCATCACTTTCAAGAAAGAGTCCCCCCAGGTATTTCAATTCACAAATTGATCAAATCAGAATTTTATAGTTCCAGAGAAAATTCAAAATTTCTCTGGGTTCAACTCTCTGGCTTGAACTGAAATTTCTCTGGGTTGATCCAGAGAAATTCTGTGGTTTGGATTGACCAAACAAATATGTATGGTCACTGAGATATGTATATAAATTCTTTTTGGCATAAATTCCAACTAAGAATGGAAAAGTAAAGGCAAAACACAAACTCTACAACCTCAAATTTGAAATTTCTGCACCCTAGAGTTTGATCTCAAATATCATAAACTAAACAAATAAATAACAAAAGGAAAAAATAAAACTTCTTTCAAGTTGTTCCAATACGGGGTCAAAAAAGATTAGTGCATTGCGTGCTGAATTTTCTCTGGGTTGAAACCAGATAAATTCTCTGGTTTTTAAATTGAATTTTCTCGGGGTTGGTCTAGAGAAATTCTTTGGTTTTTAAACTGAATTTTCCTGATTCAAGAATTTCAGTATTATGGAGATCCAGGTAGATTTCGGCAAATCATTACAAATCTCATGGTAATTCAATCAAGGTAAGTATGCATCAGCTTCTCAAATTTCAGTCCAACAACCTAGAGAAAATTCAGACCAACTAAACCAGAGAAATTCTTTGGACCAACCCAGAGAAAGTCCAGAGAAAATTCAGTCTAAACCAAAGAATTTCTCTGAACCATGTAAACAAACCCATGGTGGCAACGCTACAAATTCAAACAAGTGAAGAAATTATGACAATATTGAGGAATTTTCTCTGGACTAATTTTCTCTAGACCAATTTTCTCTGGATCAACTTGAGAGACTTTAGACATTATAAAAATATTGAGTGTCCTTTATGCTGTAAAGTCTTAATACCAAGGACCTGAAAAAAAAATTCCCCTTTTGTTTATTTATATCTTATGCATAAAAGTAAACTAGCCTACCACCCGTGCTATGCACATGATAATCTTATATATTTATATTTGTTTTAAATTTTTTTTAATATATAAATTATGTTTTTTAAGATTTTTTATAAAAATAATTTAACAATCTTATCACTAATCATAGTGTATAGGGGAAGTTGAAACGGATACTGTAGTAACTATACACAGATTGTATTTATAATTATTTGTTTGAGGGGATTTTAAATGCTGATAAGAGAATTTTGTCCAAATCAATAAATACAGGCATATAGAAAGACATGCGGATTAAAAGAAGTTAATAAATGCTGATGAGGAGATTTTGACCAAATCAATAAATGCTGAGTTTTTTTTTTAAAAAAAAAAAATTAAAAAATTCAGATTGAGATATTGGAGCTCCCATAGACCTTGCGGTTAAAAATTTTCTTTTGCTTAATATATAGTATAGATGTAACAAATAATGTGTAATACTTTTAAGTTTCATTATCACATGTCTTAAAAATATAAATTAACAAGACCCCAAAAAAATAACTACAATTATCATAGCCAAATGGACGTTGAGCCACCAAGAAGTTTTTAATCCAGCCAACTTCAATAACCCAAATTCAATCATCTTGTTTGGTTTATAAAATTGAGTTAACTTTTCAAAAAATTAAATTTTTTACTTTTCATATTTTTAAATTTTTAATTAAATTTTTTAATATTTTATTTTATATTTTTAAATGCATTTAACCTAAATATACTTAAAAAATATAATATTTATGAAAAAAAAATAAAAAATTAATTAAATACAAAAAATATAAAAATATATAAAAATTTAGTACATTTTTGTATTTTTGTGTATTTATTAAAATTTTAAAATATTTTTCACAAATATTTTATTTTTTAGATATATTTAAATTATATATTTAGAAAATAAATTAAAAGAATTCACCAAATTTTTTTTAAAAAAAACTTCAAAATAAAAATATTAATTTTAAAAAATCAATCAAAACTAAAATTAAAATCAAATAAGATGATAATGGATGAGGGGTCACTGCTGTGCGTGAAGCATAACAGTGACTGTGGTGCCTCTATTTGAAATGTATTATGGTCTTATTTTTATGATCCAAACCGTCAATTTCGTAGGGTTTGTTGAGTACTTCATGCCTACCAAAAATTATATTAATCGGATATTAACAATTATATGATCGACAACCAAAAAATAAATAATAAGTTTTATTTTGAGAAATAACATAAATAATATGCAATTCAATCATATAGTTTTGGATATCCGATTAATATGATTTTTGGTAGGCATGAAGTACTCAACAAATCCTACAAAATGAACGATTTGAATCATAAAAATAAAGCCATAATACACCTCAAATGGAGGCACCACAGTCACTGCTACCCCTTATCCGATAATAGTTTGGTCAATTAAAGACTCATTCTCCTAAGCCAAGTCCAAACCCAAACCCAAACCCAAACCCATACCCATACCCATGCCCATACCCATGTGGTTCGTGCTTCACAGCATCAAAACGGCGATCGATCCTCACACACAAAACGCCAACCTCATATAATTCCAGAGAAAAGTGAGAAACACAACACACACACACCCTAAAAATTAATTAAAAATAAATAATTAACAAAAAAAAAACATGAATCACGAGCTTCGATTCGACAGCTCGATAAATAAAACACAAAACGCGCACCATACATGTACATAACACTACTCTCTCTTCTCCCCAACTAACGTTCGCACTCTCCCCAAATCCATGGCGATTTCTCTGCAACTCTGTCGTTTCACCACTCGCACCGACATCTCGTTGCCGGGGCTCAGAGTCTTCCCCTGCCGGAAACCTCTCTCCGTCCGATGCTCCGCCGGCGAGTCTCCGTCGCCGTCGGTGGCTGTCGATGAGGATTTCGATGCGAAGGTGTTCCGGAAGAACTTGACGAGGAGCAAGAATTATAATCGGAGAGGGTTTGGACACAAAGAAGAGACTCTTGAGCTCATGAATCGCGAGTATACTAGTAAGTTTTGTGGATTTACTGTGCTCGAGATTTTCCGAGAAAAAAGGAGGAAAAGAGAAGAAAAGAAAAGAAAATTGAATTCTTTGTGCTTTTTGTTTTTTGATAATTTTTTTTTTTTTTGGAGTGGACGTTTCTCTTTTTTCTATCGTTTTCACGATGAAAGTTGAGTTTTTTTCATAATCTTTCGCCTCTTTTTGATTTCCGACGTGTCTCTGCAGTTAAGTTGAGCGTAAAATTGGGAATTTGAGCAGCAGTAAGTTCTATGGATTTGCTGGTTCCCGAGAAAAAGGAGGAAAAGAAAAGAAAATTCTTTGTGCTGTTTGTATTTTAATCATTGTTTATCGAGTTGACTTTTATTTTTATTTTTATTTTTGTAATGAAAGTTGAAATTCTTTCAAAATCTTTCACTTCTTTTCGATTTGCGAAGTGTCTCTTTAGTTAAGAATTTTACTTCATCTGTTTGGTTCCCGAGAAAACTGAGAACAGAACAGAAAAGAAAAGAAGTATATGTTCTAGATTTTCTACTCTTGAGGTCCTGAAGTATCTAGGAATAACTCAATTTGGCTAGGAAGTTTCCTTTTTTATTTTCCAAATTTTTAGAATTTGATTTTATTGATGTAACTATGGAATAATATAATTTATGAGAGCATTAAATTCGGAATTTTACTTCATCTGTTTGGTTCCCGAGAAAACAGATAAGAGAAAAGAAAAGAAGTTTATGCTCTAGATTTTCTACTCTTGAGCTCCTGAAGTGTATAGGGTTAGCTCAGTTTAGCTCAAAAATTTCCCTTTTTTCTTTTACAATTTTTTAGAATTTGATTTTATTGATGATACTAAGGAATAATATAATTGAATTAGTATCAGAACTGTGATTGATTTCTGAGCTTGTTAATTTGTTGGAAAATTTCAGGTGACATCATAAAGACTTTGAAGGATAATGGAAATGAATATACATGGGGAAACATTACTGTGAAACTTGCAGAATCTTATGGCTTTTGCTGGGGTGTTGAGAGGGCAGTCCAAATTGCTTATGAGGCGAGAAAACAGTTTCCTCAGGAGAAGATTTGGATAACCAATGAAATTATTCACAATCCAACTGTCAACAAGGTCTATATGTCTTTCTATCCAAATTTCATAAGATGGGGATATAGAAGTTTTTATGGTCACTTAGATTTGCTAATACTTGTTTGCCATGCAAGTAAATTTGACCTCCTACACTAGGGTAATTCATGTTAATCGTTTCCTTTGCATTGGTACTTAAAATTTAGGGATTTGACAATTGGTACAATCCTTTGTTAAACCTCACATGAACATGAAGTGCATAAATAATGTGAGTGAGAGTATCCACATGAGGGCAATGCTAGGGGATGAGGGAGACCAAAATTGACTTGGGTTAAGATAGCGAGAAAAGACATGTTAGTATGTGGTTTCTCTGAAATGTGGTCCTTAATTGAGCAGAACAGCGAAACAAGATTCATGTAGTTTGGACAAGGCCTTGTTGAGTTGAGTTGAGGTGGAAGGGAGTTTGAATCAATATGTAACATGAATAGTCTAGATCATGTTTTGATTTGAATTTTTAAATATTTTGGTGATGCTTTTGTTTGATTTCTCTATCTAAACCTACCTACAGCACAATCGATGCTTACAAACTTGACTGCATGGCCTGTGAAATTGGTTGACTTGATTGAAGTTTTGCTAAAATTGTTTTCTTTAGAAGGGCAGTTAAACAAGTCCACTCTTTGTGGTATTTAGTGTTTTCCTTCTTATTTATTAAACACTCATTGCAGCTAGTAAATTATTTGATTTGTTGTATCAGAGGTTGGAAGAGATGGATGTTCAAAATATCCCTATCAAGGATGGGAAGAAACAATTTGATGTTGTTGATAAGGATCATGTCGTGGTTCTGCCTGCTTTTGGAGCCGCAGTGGATGAGATGTTGGTTTTGAATGACAAAAATGTACAAATTGTTGATACCACTTGCCCATGGGTATCTAAGGTATCTTTTCCAGTGACTGAGCTGTTGCTGATGTTTCTTTGTCTGCAGCTCTTTAATTATATGTCCTGTATCCTTCAACATTTGAGATTCGACATTTTTGTAATTTTTGTGAAGGTTTGGAATACTGTTGAAAAGCACAAAAAGGGAGAGTATACTTCAATTATTCATGGTAAATATTCTCATGAGGAGACTGTAGCAACTGCATCTTTTGCAGGAAAGTATATCATTGTGAAGAACATGGCAGAGGTATTTTTATCGTGGCTGCTATTCTCTGTAGAAACTTTCCCTTAATTTTTAATGTTTTGTAATTTTCTGTACTTTAAGCAACATGTATATTGTAATCAAGAATTAAGCCTGGCCTTTATGACAAAATTTTAATTATATGAATTTCTCAACTTAATCCAGGCAATGTATGTTTGTGATTACATTCTTGGGGGTGAGCTTGATGGATCTAGCTCAACCAAAGAGGCATTTTTGGAGGTGAAGTTTCGATTGCTTGTTGTTCTTTATTTTTTAAAAATGTGGCCGAGTTTCATGCAAATATTTTTGGTTTACCACAGAAATTCAAATTTGCGGTTTCTAAGGGGTTTGATCCAGACAGTGACTTGGTTAAAGTTGGTATTGCAAATCAAACTACAATGCTTAAGGGTGAAACCGAAGAGATTGGTTAGTTACATTTTTACCTATCATAATCTATCATATTTACCAACAAATTGCAAGTTGTGGATTCTAAGTTTTTTTTCCTGTTTCACAGGGAAATTAGCAGAGAGGACTATGATGCGTAAATTTGGAGTGGAAAACCTCAACGAGCACTTCATAAGTTTCAATACAATCTGTGATGCAACTCAAGTATTTTCTCTCCTCCAATCTATTGGTTTTGTCATTTTCAGGATAATGATTTGTTTATGGTCTATTATTGTAGAGCATTGTACAATGTGTTGGGGTGTTTTGTTTTTATTCATTCATTTATGCTTATGCATTTTGCCTTGTCTGTCTTTCTTTCTTTCCCCTGTTCATGTATTGATATTGAAACTTGGCTTACGTGGTGTGTTTGTTTTCAAAATTTTTGAAAATAAACAAGAAAATGAATGAAAACATGAGCCAAACTTGCACCAAGTATTTATATTTTGTGTTTTTGGCCTTCATGAAGCTTCTTCTAATTAATCCTTCTCCATTTCAGGAGCGACAAGATGCCATGTATAAGCTGGTGGAGGAACAGCTGGATCTTATGTTAGTTGTCGGGGGATGGAACTCAAGTAACACTTCTCACCTTCAAGAGATTTCAGAGGAGCGTGGAATTCCATCTTATTGGATTGATAGTGAGCAGAGAATTGGTCCCGGAAACAAAATAAGTCACAAGTTGATGGTAGGTGCATGCTAATAATTCCAATGTTGCAACCTATCATTTGTTTCCAAAATCTAATTCTTGTTCATTTATGTTCAAATTGTCTTATTGTTAACAGCACGGTGAGCTGGTTGAGAAGGAGAACTTTCTACCAGAGGGTCCAATCACAATAGGGGTAACATCCGGTGCCTCTACTCCTGATAAGGTAATTGTATTTATTGTGATTTATCGTTCCACTACTATCAATGTTTTGCAAACCAATAGAAACACTTTCATTGCTAGAGTGAGAATTTCATGCCATGAGCTTAAAATTAGTCATAATTTTGTGCCTAAATGGTTTTGACTAGGTTGTGGAAGATGTTCTTATCAAGGTGTTCGACATTAAACGTGAAGAAGCCCTGCAACTGGCATAGGTTTAGGTCTGATGTTAATAGGTGAGACAATAATGCTGTGTTTTATTTTCACAGAATTATAAGGGAAGTGTAGTGTATGTACACTCTGAATATCAATGATATATCTTTGTATGTATAAAGATCATGGTTTTTACATCTGCATTGTTTTTGGTTTTCTAGTTGAGTTCCTAAGCCCGTTTGGTGTAACTGTTAAAACAAATTATAAATTATACCTTAATAGATTATCGATTATGACTTTAATCAGAAGTTATTAATCTGTTTGGTGTAGCTATTGAATTATAGATTTAAGTTGCTGAATAGTGTTTGTTAAATAAGCTGTGAAGTAGCTTTTTCAATTAATTTTTATTTTTTGTTATTCACTACTTGTCTACATTTATCATAAAAAATAATAATAATATTCTATAGTTCATTTGGGTCTTTTTCTATTTTTAAAAAAATAAAAAATAAAAAAATCTAAGAGTATAACCATAAATTAACATGTCCACAACAGAAACTGATAATCAAAAGTAAGGGGTGAGCAGTTTCTCAGAATTAGTTTTTTTGAGAAACAAGAGAGCACCTGTTTGACACTTAGGTTTAGAACCTTGCTTTTGATTTGAAGAATTTTCTTTTTTGGGGTATATTTCTTTGAATGAAGAGTGGAACATGTTGAGTACATACGTGCACGGTGCAAACCAATTGATACCCACAGTTACTGTCAAAAAAGCATGACATGAACCAACTATTCCTATCCCAGATCCAATCGAATTTTAAAATCATTCATCAAAACATTCATACTGTCAAACGTTCGACTTGCTCTCCGAAACAACCCCTCTTTTATGACACTCATTTTTTTGTGTGAATTTTTTTCCTTCTTTCCTTTTTCATTATCAATCCAAATGGACATTAATTAGGCCCAATCATTAAATTTCATTCAATAGAATTGGTTACTTTTATTTTGCTCCGAATCTTGTATGAACTAGAAAGTTTAGAGATTGAAGGTTGACCTAGGGGATGAGATGCTTTTCGACTGAACTTGATGACTTGGATCGAGTTTGACCGCAACACAATGCACCTTTCTCTAAATTATTATTTTATTTTTTTTGAATTTCACCCACATTTTCCATCTTACACTTCATCTTAGGTGGTAATATGCTCTAAATGAAGGGTTTCTGTATTTGGAAAAAAAACAAACAATAAAGAAAAGAGGGCGAAGCTTTATTAAAAAATGGACAATACTAAACAAAAATATGAAGGGTTGATAAAGTAAGTAAACAAATCCAAAAAAAAAAAACCCTCAGAATGACATAGAAAAATAGAAGTTTTCCACATCTTCCTCTCATGCATTATTCAAGCACTACTGGTTTATATTTCACAAATCCGTTGCGTTGAACAAGTTGAAGTTCGTTGAAGCTCAGTTGGACCACCCCATGTTCTAACACGCTGCTCAGCTTGCAGATCCTGCATTATTAAGTGATTTGATTAAATTTCGCAACAAATGATTGGAGACAAAGCGCATTCTTGCAGGTTGTGAGCATTGGAAGTGTTTGAAAGGTTACTGTATTGTTCCACACACTTGAAAATGAAGAAAAAAGTAGATTACCCTATATAGCATTAGAAACAATGCTCTGTTTCATGACCAACACTATAAAAGTTTGAGACTGAGATGTCTTGATTTTTATCTCTTTGTTCCAGTTTGTTCGAATTATGATGAACAATAAGATAACCGTTTGAAGCAAGCCACCAACCAACATCCTCAGTGCAAAGGGCATCTGGGCAGGGATGTTGTTTGGTGGCTTGCTTCAAACAATTATCTTATAGTAGCTCCCTATGTCTATAAAGGCAACCAGAAACTGCCAGCCTGCACCTACTGCAATCCCTGCAATTTCAAGAAGACGATATCAAAATCACGGTTGTTGCAGCTCATATGTTGTGAGAAATTCTCATTGCAATAGTTTGCACAGTTTACTGTAGTTTGAATGATGTGAACTTTTGATTCAAAGGCAAAAACAATTTCCCAATGACTTTCCCATATCAAGAGAGTGCTATGAGAGACAACTACAGCAATTGCTGGATTCTGCAAAGCTCCCACCATGAGGATCACTGCGGTGTAATACCATAGCTCCAAGCTGTCACCACAAATAATATTTGCATAAACGGGATGAATTTTAAAAGTATTTCTTTGTGAATTATAAAATCTGAGTGCATGTACCAACCATAACATTACAGGAGGCAAGTAAGAGCTTCAAGAAACCTGTCAACGACCTGAAGGCCAATAAGGAAAAACCAGTCCACGCATCGGGAAAAATCCAGAAATCACATACACTATCTGAGCCAAGACAAGAATCCACCATGAAATGTTCCCAGTTATGGCAGCGCCAAGAAGATTGTTTCTAAGATTTGTCATCAGAACCCAATTCAACAACACATGAATTCCCAAAGCTACTATTGAAACTGCAGTCATGACCCAAACTTTGCTTCGAGATTGGATTGGATAGGAAAGTTGAGGGCGTATGCAATTGAAGAATTACCCATCTACAGTAGTTCCCGGCAAGGACAGAGATGTCTTTGTTTTGATGAAGGAGCTTTAGCAATAGTGATGAGAAGACATAGATCAGTGTCAGAAACAAAGCGGTGATGATGCTTATGATCCATGATCTCTGCAAGTAGATTCCTAGCATGTTGAGCTGCCCTTCTTATCCCTAGCTATTACAGAAGAATTAGCCAAATTGAAATTAGCCAAATCGAATAGAGTCAGTTCAGGTTCATTCAGTTTTGTTCAGGTGAATTTAAAGTTATGTGGGTGCAACTTTCTGTTGGAAATGGTAGAAAAATTCTGGGTAAAATCAGAATTTTTTCTCAAGTTTGGTCTATTTTTAGGTAGGCCCCGAGTGTCGATTTACTTGGGTCAAAATGGTAACGCGTTCTATGCCGCGTTGTGATTCACATGGTATATTTGGTTGCTTAAAACCATTACCGAGTGAATGAGAAATTGAAGCCAAAGTGTGCTCCATGAAAATGGAGTTTTGGTAGAAATTCCTTAAGGTTGTAAATTGGCTTGTCCCACATTGATTTGGTGGGAAGTTTTGAAAGGGTTTATAAGGCTTGGGTTAGATACTTGGGGTGTGCCCCAAGGGGTACCCAAGTGTTTTAGAGAGAGAGGTTATGGGCAAAATGGGCTAGACCCATTGGACTCAAAAAATCACCACACGCGCGCACTCTGTTGTCCGTCCGATCGGACGGGTTGGGCTTCTAATCTTTTTGCGCAAAAAATATTTGAATTTAATTTTATTTTTTGGTAAAATAAAATCCAGAATTCAAATTAAACTGTTTTGGATTTATTGTTCATCCAAACAGGGCCCTTCCCGGTTTCAAACAGAATTAAACTGGTTTGGATTTATTGCTCATCCAAGCAGAGCCCTTCCCGTTTTTATCTGTTTCTTCCCGGTTTCAAACAGAATTAAACTGGTTTGGATTTATTGCTCATCCAAGCAGAGCCCTTCCCGTTTTTATCTGTTTGAATTATTAACCCAACAGATTCAAATCTGTTTAAATTTGAAACTAACAGGTTTCATACCTGTTCAATTCAAAACCAAGAGCCACCTTTACATCTATAAATAGACTAGCCTCCCATTTGGATTTCACTCCAATTTTCATACTCCATTCTCTGCTTTAAATCTCTGCATTTTGCTGCATCTTATTTCTGAAAGAATGAGTGTAAACACTTTGTGTGTTCGACGAACGATTAAATTGTAGTGCTGCTTTTATTTGTTGATAAGATCATTTTATCCTGGGAGATAGACGTCCAAATTCTGAAAGCACCGTGGAGAGGACGAATCTGTCTTAAGGACACAGTGTCAAACACTGGACTTGATCAGAAAAATTATTCAAATAAATTAACCAAGTAAGTTGTTTAATTTTATTCTGTTTTTATTTGTTTATTTAATCAGATTTTAATTTTGTTTTTGTAACAAATTTTATTTATTTATTTTTATTTCGAGTTTGATTTTTGTAATCAAACAAATTCTCTCATTTTCTTTATTTCTTTATATTCTTGTTGTTGTTTTGTACACAACAGAATTTAATCTTTTTAAATACAGTGAAGATTGTCCAACACTTTCAAGCATGTAACTCTAAATCAAATAGGGTGGTTTTGGGAAGAAAGAGTCCTGAAGCAAGTGGACAGGTGGCTGAGCTTGATCTGGAGACGGAAAAATTAACAGAAAATGTCGGGATGAATCAAAGAAGATGTGGCAGATAGCTGCACCGGCTATGCTGACTGCAGTCACTCAATTCTCTATGGGGTTTGTCACCGCGGCATTGGTGGGCCATTTGAGTGAATAGGGTGGTTTTGGGAAGAAAGAGTCCTGAAGCAAGTAGACAGGTGGCTAAGCTTGATCTGGAGACGGAAAAATTAACAGAAAATGTTGGGATGAATCAAAGAAGATGTGGCAGATAGCTGCACCTGCTATTCTGACTGCAGTCACTCAATTCTCTATCGGGTTTGTCACCGCAGCATTGGCTCTATCGGGTTTGTCACCACGGCATTGGTAGGCCATTTGAGTGATGTTAAGCTTGCAGCCGTCTCAGTTGTCAAAATATAATTGAATGGTGTCATGTTAAGTATTGATTAAATTAGTGTTTGAAAACTAAAAGCTAATTAATAATTGTGTGTTGTGCGCTTTGATCACTAGGATGATAAATATGTCATGTACATGAAAGTGTCAGACAAAATTAATTAAACACCAATCTTACATTAGCATGGTGAATGGTTTGATTAAACGGCAATCTTACAAAATTAATATATTTATAATGAACGGTTTGAATTAGCATGGTGAGAGAATAATAGAGTTCACAAAACTCAATAGCAACCTTAAGCTGATATGCTCATCTAATTTCTTATTTGGAAAATTTTAAAAAAAAAAGAAAATTAAAATCAAGAAACACAAAAATTAATTGAAAAACCAAATATACCTTTTTTTTCATATTAAGTGGGTCTCATTTGGTTTCACACCTATGTAAAAAAGATTTCTTTACCAGTAGAAAAAAACTAAAAACTAAAATATTCATATGCTAAAACTATTTGGTATCTTTCATCAATCATTACACCTAAATAAAAAGCTTACATTAATCATAAATGTATTTGTGATTTTTTTTTTAAAACATCAATATAAATATGATGAATCACATAATCTAAATTAATCACACTAACCAATATAAATATGATGAATTACATTATCTACATCAATCACATTACGGAAAAAAAAAAGGCTCTAAAAAGAGATTAAAAAAATAGTTTTTTTAAATTTTTTTTAATAACATAATCCAAAAAAAAAAAAAAAAGAGAAATTAAAACACATACTTATCAAAGCTAACCATAAGGGGGACTGTAATTATCTTCTATTCTAAGCTTATGTCTATGTACCAAAATGTCATTAAATTATGTTTCAAGATTTTATGTAATGAGTAATATCTTTAGGCAGAAAATACTTTTTGAAATTTATTTTTTGGCACTTGTTTCGACAAAAAACTAAGATCAATAAAAAATATTACTTGGATAGAAATCGATTTTTTATTTCAAAATGTGAAATACTTTCTAAATTAAAATCTGACTAATATGACTACACTACCACCGACTCCACCTCTGCTGCCACTTTTGGAAAAAAATAATTTTATTGAAGGATTTGGCATTTTGAAAACAAAAATATTCAAAAAAAAATAAAATAAAATAAAACAACAACAACAACAACAACAACAAAAAAATTTGATGACTAAACCACAAGAAGCAAAAAAAGATGATATTGTGAGAATATGTGTTCTCCTAGGATTAGGAATAAGTGTCTTATATCTATTAGACTTCTATATATCTCAGTGATGTATTCATGTAGGATTAGGAATTAGTGGTACTCTATATAAATGATGTATGCATTCTTTGTTCAATCAATTCAATCTAATATACAGTTTTGTTTAGCATGGTATCAGAGCTAGGTTCAAAACCCTAGCCCTCTCTGGTTCGACTGGTTTGTCACCATTGGAGTCGCGACTTTTCTCTCTCCAGACTCGCGAGGGTTCGAAACCCTAGCCCTCTCTGGTTCGTCTTGCGAAGGCCTCTCTCTTCCTCGCGATCTCTGTCTGAATAGATTCGCAGCCATCTACTTCGGCTCTCTAGTTAATTTGGTTCGTCTGCCTCTGTGCTTCGCGAGCTCCGTCTGAAGATCGATCTTAGCTTTAGTGTTCGTTTTCCTTTGTGCTTCGCGATCTCTGTTTGAGATCTTCGCGAGCTCCGTCTGAATATTGATCTCAGCTTCAGTCTCTCTCTCTCTCTCTCTGCGCTTCGCGATCTCTGTGATCTCTGTGCTTCAACTTGGCTATTTCTATTTAAGACCCTATTTCAGGAATATTGCACTCAAGCCCTATATTTGTCTGTTTATCACAAACTTTGTTTTATTACAATGTCGGATACTAAAATCCAAGCCATCAAATGTAAACTAACTGGTGGAAATTATGCCTATTGGGCCAGTGTCATGAAGAATTTTCTTCTTGGTCAAAAAAAATGGGACTATGTTTCTAGTTTTGCTCCTCGTCCATCGGACCCGAAGGTAGAAGGGTATTTGTCTTCCTGTGACACTTGGGATTGTGATAATGCCCAAGTTCTAACATGGTTTCATAATTCTATGGATGACCGTATTGGAATGATATTTTCCAAGTGCAGTACTACCAAGGAAGTGTGGGATTATTTACTCGGTGTTTATCAGCAGTCCAACTTTGCCAAACGGTATGAGTTGGAAACAACTATTCAGAGTGCTCGTCAGCGGAATCAAACTATTCAAGACTTTTATATTGAGATGACAGGTCTCTGGGATCAGCTGGCTCTTATGGAACCACCTAGTCTCAAGTGGTTTCATAATTCTATGGATGACTGTATTGGAATGATGTTTTCCAAGTGCAGTACTACCAAAGAAGTGTGGGATTATTTACTCGGTGTTTATCAGCAGTCCAACTTTGCCAAACGGTTGGAAACAACTATTCAGAGTGCTCGTTAGCAGAATCAAACTATTTAAGACTTTTATATTGAGATGACAGGTCTCTGGGATCAGCTGGCTCTTATGGAACCACCTAGTCTCAAGATACTAGACGCTTATATTGAGTTTCGGGAAGAAGGTCGTTTAGTCCAGTTCTTAACAACTCTCTTCCCTCAGTATGAGACTATTCGAGGTGGCATCCTTCACCGATCTCCTCTTCCCTCTGTGGATGTTATTGTTCGTGAACTCCTCTCCGAGGAAACCCGTCTTAAGACAGCCAGTCAGACTTTGCCTCCTTCTGTGTTCTTGGCTCCTGCCAAGCCGCCCTTGTTATCGACCCCTCCTCCTCATTAGCTTCAGGCCACTGCGAAACCCAAGAGAGGACCATTAGGGCCAGATGAGTGTGCTTTCTACCATCAGAGGGGTCATTGGAAGAACAACTGTCCCAAGAAGGGATGTCAGCCTGCTCTATCTTCTTAGACACAGTTCCGCTGTCCTACATTGGTTACTTTCCGACCTCCTACTGCTTATACTGCTTCTACTCCGGCTCCCGATCCTGACTTGGCTTCCTTGAGTGCTCAGGTTGCACAACTTTAACATATCCTGTCCACTACTCAGCCATCGCCATCTGCCTCTGCTCTTACCTCCCTTCATTCAGATTTGCTTGGGTCCTCTTCAAGTATCCCTTCTTCTGTCTGGCTTTTTGATTCTGGTGCCTCTCATCATATGACTCCTCACTTTTCCTTACTTCAAAACTGTATTCCCCCACCCGTTCCTATTACTATTAATACTGCTAATAGGTATGGTATGTCTGTTTTGTCTATTGGGTCTGTCTTACTATCCGCCATGTCTGTTGTTACTATTCCTTCTGTTCTTTACGTCCCTCAGTCATCTGTTAGTTTATTATCTATCAGTCAACTTGATGCATCTGGTTTTGATGTTATCTTTTCCTCTTCTATTTGTTGTGTACAGGGTCGGGTGTCCAAGAAGCAGATTGGGATCGACCGTAGAGTTGGAGATCTCTATGTGGTTGAAAGCTTGCATCTCCCTTTATCTACCTCTCCAGCTGCACTTTATTCGTTTCAATTAGATTCTTAGTCGAGTCAGTTTTACTTATGGCATTCTCGTCTCGGTCATTTGTCTGTTGACCGCTTACGGTCTTTAGCTCAGTCAGGATTGTTGGGTAAAGTTTTTCCTAGTCAAATTGATGAATGTCGGGGGTGTAAACTTGCCAAAATGTCAGCTTTACCTTTTAATAAAAGTACATCTATTTCTGTTTCTTCTTTTTCTCTTGTGTATACTGATGTTTGGGGACCCTCTCCTGTTCTTACTAAAGGGGGTTCAATATACTATGTGTCTTTTGTTGATGATTGCACCCATTACACGTGGGTTTATCTTATGACTCATAAGTCTGACTTCTACCAGATATATCGTACTTTCCAATCTATGGTCACTACATAGTTTGGATCTACTATTAAAGTGTTGCGGTCTGACTTGGGTGGGGAATACTTTAAAACTGAATTCTGTTAATATTTGGCCAACTTGGGTACCATTCACCAAACTTCTTGTACTGATACACCTGCCCAAAATGGCCGAGCTGAGCGTAAACACCGTCATCTTCTTGAGACAGCTAGGTCTCTTCTTTTCTGCCTCCGTTTTGGGGTGAGGCAATTCTTACTGCTGCTTTTCTTCTCAACCGTATGCCTACCCCTTTTCTTTCTGGTCGGTCTCCTTATGAGGCTTTATTTTCTCAACTTCCTAATTACTCTCTCCTTCGTGTGTTTGGGTCTGCGTGTTTTGTCCTTTTACCCCGTAAAGATAGGACTAAACTTAGTGCCCGGTCTGTCCTATGTGTTTTTTTGGGATATAGTCTCACTCAGAAAGGTTATCGCTGTTATGACCCTGTTTCTCGTCGCCTTTATGTCTCCCGTCATGTTGTCTTTCTCAAACGTCTATCTTACTTTCAGTTTCCTCCTCTCACCACCCTAGTTTCCAAAGAGGATTTGGTTCATATTGATCCATTTCCTTCTGAGGTCCCATCTGATGAGTACATCTCCACAGTTCCTCCTGAGCTTATTCCATCTTCTCCTCCTACTTCACCTCTAACTACTTCTTCTCCTTCTTTGTCTTCTCCTCCTTCTTCTCCTCCATTGTTAGTTTATTCTCGACGCAAGGCTCATTCTCTACTAGATGTCTCTACTCCTACTGTTGATCCTCCTGCTTCTGACGACTCTGATCCTACTACACACCGATATCCTCCTCGAGCGCGTCATCCTTCAAAAAGGTTGGGTTGGTCTAGTACTTGTTTTTTTGCTTCCTATCGTACTTTTTTGTCTGCTATTCACTCTTTGTAGAACCTCAGTCTTACAAGGAGGCCTGTCAGGATCCTCATTGGGTTCAAGCTATGGAGGATGAGTTGTTTGCTCTACACAAAACTAGTACTTGGGAGTTGGTTCCTTTACCTGCTAGTAAGAATCTGGTTGGTTGCAAATTGGTCTACAAAGTCAAGACTCATTCTGATGGTTCTCTTGAGCGCTACAAAGCTCGTCTGGTGGCCAAAGGTTTCTCCCAGGAGTGTGGTATTGATTATGATGAGACATTTGCTCCTGTTGCCAAGATGACTACTGTCCGTACTTTGATTTCTGTCGCTGCTGTTCGTTCTTGGCTTCTTTATTAGATGGATGTTAAGAATGCTTTTCTTAATGGCCATCTCACTGAGGAGGTTTACATGCGTCCTCTCCCTAGTCTTCACCATTCCTCTGGCCAAGTCTGTCGTCTTCGGCGTGCTCTATATGGTCTGAAGCAGTTTCCTCGTGCTTGGTATGATCGCTTTCAGACTGTTGTTACCGAGCTTGGGTTTCATTCTTCTGCTTTCGACTCTGCTTTATTTCTAAGACATACCTCGGCTGGTTTTGTTGCTCTCTTACTATATGTAGATGATATGATCATCACCGGCTCTGACTCTTCTGCTATCTCTGAGGTCAAGCAGCATCTCTTCCGCACCTTCGAAATGAAGGATCTGGGACCATTGCAGAATTTTCTTGGCATTGAAGTGGCTTCTTCTCCCAAGGGTTACTTTCTATCGCAGACTAAGTATGCTAACGAGGTTATCCATCGTGCCAGACTTACTGACACTAAGCTGTCTAATACCCCCATTGAGCTTAATGTAAAGCTCAACACTACTGATGGGGTTCCTTTAGATGATCCTACGTGATATCGCGAGCGTGTAGGTTGCTTAGTTTATCTGACAGTTACTCGCCCTGATCTTGTCTATGCTATCCACGTGATTAGTCAGTTTGTTTCTACCCCTCGCTCTACACATTGAGCTGCTTTGCTTCGGATTCTTCGCTATCTTCGCAGTACCATCTTTCAGGGCTTGCTGTTCTCTTCTACTTCTTCCTTAGACTTGGTGGCTTATGCTGATGCTGATTGGACTGGTGATGTTAATGATCGTAAATCTACTTCTGGTTTCTGTATGTTTCTTAGCGATTCCCTAATTTCTTGGAAAAGCAAGAAACAAACTATTGTTGCCCGTTCTACTGCTGAAGCTGAGTATCGTGCTATGGCTCATGCTACTGCTGAAATTGTCTGGCTTCGTAATCTCTTATTTGAGTTGGGCGTCCCTCAATCTTCCCCGACCTCTCTCTATTGTGACAACCGAAGTGCTATTCAAATTGCTCATAACACTGTGTTCCATGAACGGACAAAGCATATTAAGCTTGATTGTCACTTCGTCCGTTAGCATCTACAGTCTGGCCTTATCTCGCTTCCTTTTGTCTCTTCGGCTCTGCAACTTGCTGACTTCTTCACTAAGACTCACACCACTGCTCGGTTTCGTTTTTTTCTTGACAAACTCTCAGTGTTTTCTGCTAAAACACCTTGAGTTTGAGCGGGGGTGTGAGAATATGTGTTCTCCTAGGATTAGGAATAAGTGTCCTATATCTATTAGACTTTTATATATCTCAGTGATGTATTCATGTAGGATTAGGAATTAGTGGTACTCTATATAAATGATGTATGTATTCTTTGTTCAAATTAATTCAATCTAATATACAGGTTGTTTAGAAATCTTACATATACAACAAAATGCACTCTATCTTACTTTCAGCTTCCTCCTCTCACCGCCCCAGTTTCCAAAGAGGATTTGGTTGATATTGATCAATTTCCTTCTGAGGTCCTATCTGATGAGTACATCTCCACAGTTCCTCCTGAGCTTATTCCATCTTCTCCTTCTGCTTCACCTCTGACTACTTCTCCTCCTTCGCCTCCTCCTTCGCCTTCTCCTTCTCCTTCTCTTTCTTCTTCTCCTCCGTTGTTAGTTTATTCTCGTCGCAAGGCGGTGTTTATCAACAGTCCAATTTTGCCAAGCGGTATGAGTTGGAAACAACTATTCAGGGTGCTCGTCAGCGGGATCAAACTATTCAGGACTTTTATATTGAGATGACAGGTCTCTGGGATCAGTTGGCTCTTATGGAACCACCTAGTCTCAAGATACTAGACGCTTATATTGAGTTTCGGGAACAGGGTCGTTTAGTCCAGTTCTTAACAGCTCTCTCCCCTCAGTATGAGGCTATTCGAGGTGGCATCCTTCACCGATCTCCTCTTCCCTCTGTGGATGCTATTGTTCGTGAACTCCTCTCCGAGGAAACCCGTCTTAAGACGGCCAGTCAGACTTTGCCTCCTTCTGTGTTCTTGGCTCCTGCCAAGCCGCCCTTGTTATCGACCCCTCCTTCTCATCAACTTCAGGCCACTGCGAAACCCAAGAGAGGACCATTAGGGCTAGATGAGTGTGCTTTCTGCCATCAGAGGGGTCATTGGAAGAACAATTGTCCTAAAAAGGGACGTCAGCCTGCTCCGTCTTCTCAGACACAGTTCCGCGGTACTACTTCGAGTACTTTCCGACCTCCTGCTGCTTACACTGCATCTACTCCGGCTCCCGATCCTGACTTGGCTTCCCTAAGTGCTCAGGTTGCACAACTTCAGCATATCTTGTCCACCTCTCAGTCATCCCCATCTGCCTCCGCTCTTACCTCTCTTCATTCAGGTTTGCTTGGGTCCTCTTCAGGTATCTCTTCTTCTGTTTGGATTTTTGATTCTGGAGCCTCACATCATATGACTCCTCACCTTTC